AAGAAAAGGATAAAAAAAAAAGAAATAAAGAGAAAAAAGTTAAAAAAGACAAAGAAGCACCAATAAAAAGCATACAAGAGATGAAATTAAAAACATTAGAAAAAAGATACAAGAAATAGAGAAAAAAGAACAACAAGACTTGTTAGCAAAAATAGTATGTGATCCAATAGAAAGCAGCATTTGATTACCAAACAATAGACTGTGTAAAGGTGATAAATCGTTCTTTGCAAAAATACATGCCTGCAAAATACTAGAGAATACACCCAAAGAAAGAGTCACAAACTTAGAAGGAATCTTAAGCAGAGACAAATGTATAAAATCAATACAAAAAGTATTCAGAAATGGAAATAGCTAGATAGAAATAAAGTTTGATTGTGAATATAGCAGAGAAAAAGCAATCAAGAAAGTTAAGAAAAAAGAAGGAAACTAGCTTCATCTTATTTTAGAATCAGATAATAAACAGAAAGCTAACCAAAAAAGCAGAGAAAATAAATACAGAAGAGTGAGAGATAGCTAACAAAAAGAAGAAACATAAGCTTTCAAGGAAAGAATCTCTTACAAAGAAGCAAAAAGAAGAAAAAAATATCATGAAGAAAGCAAAACAGAATATACTAAACATATTACTTTTTGGGATCTACCAAAAACAATTAGAATGCAAAAAATTCAATATATGTGCAAAAACTTTGGTAGACTAGAAGACATCAAGATTAAAAAAACAGAATATAGAATGATAGCAGAAGTAGAATTGAGATTCAACATAAAGGAATACAAGCTACTCTGGGTCCTTCTACTAGAAAATAAAAGATTGACAAGAGTTTTTAAAGACAGAGAAAACAGAGAAGAAATGAATAACTGCTTCAAGTATATTATAAAACTAGGGAGGATTCCAAAAAAGATCTCAAAAATGCTATTACTAGGTTGCATTAAAGAAAGAAGCACAAAAGCAGTATACATCTCTAGAAAAAGAAATAGCTAAATAAAACAAGCAGCAATCATTATCTTTGAACATGAAGTGGACTTAAGAAAGGCAACTAGTAAACTAGTTAGATATAACAATTAGTTACTAAACTGGAAGCAAGAAAGCAGATTTAATAACTATTCTCTAAGCCCAGAAAGGGAATATGAAAAGGAAAGTCTTAACAACCTAAAACAGCCTTTATAAAAGAAAGAGTAAGAAAATTTCTTATGACAGAGAGAAAGAGAAATTAGAAAAACAAGGTGAAGCAAATCTAAATACAAAAAGAAAAGAGAAAAACAACAAGCAAAGTCGAAGCCAAGACAACTAGAAAATGGATCCAAGCATTATAAACAAAATTAATAAATATCAATTAATACTAATAGAAATATTGAGAAGACTTAACAATATAAGCAATAAGCAGGTAGTGTCTGCTTAATACTTCTAAAAGGCGTCTTAGTTGAATTTAGAAAAACTAATATAGAGACTAGCCTCTTTCATAAGAGCCTTCAGAATACACAAACAAGAAGAAGAAAGAAGTCTCCAATTAGCAATTAGATACACATGATAGAAAGGGGAAAAGAAAACAATAAGCAGGAACAAAACTCAAGATTTCAACACAATAAAAATTAGGTTTCACAATATCAAAAGTATTAAAACATGCAAAAACAAAATTGAAGCAATTTTAGACATATATGTATTAAAAAATCAACTTTTTCTAATGATCACTTAAACCAAGACCAGACCAAAACAGTTTGAAGATTCAAGGCTCTAAAAAGTCTGAAGATATCTGAGGTTCCTTATTGATACTGTTGTCGACGAAGACTTATATGTAAAACACCAAGAAGCAGAACGTATATAGTGGTTTATACTTTGGGTCAAGCTTTACTTCTGGATAGACTTTCTTGTACATTTAGCATCCAAGCCAAAAGGGTTATTTTGGTAACAGTAGTGGTGAACAACTTCTGACTCAAGTGTTTGAAGCTTTTTAGTTCTACGATAAACAACTGGAAACACCTTTTTTGTCTAAAGCTCTCGCAAATACAGTACTTTTCTCCTTTTGATACTTTTGGCTATAATTTTCGACAAAAAGTGGGAAATCTAAAAGATTAGCAAATGTTTACTATGTCCATATCAGAAAAATCTGTATAATGACAAACAACATATGTAAAATGGATAGTGCCAGCGAATTTAGTAACTGAATAAGTATTCAAAAGAATACCTTATATATCATGTTGTTGAGAACATACAAATATGTGATCATTAGATAGAGCACGTAGAGATTTCAAAATTCTTATACTTTCAGATGAAGATATAGATTTAACTGAAAGAGTAAAGTAAAGTGAAAAGAGATATACAGGCATCTTTTAGTCACCTGTATATAATTTTTAACCTCTGGCACGAGTTATAGTGCATTTGGTTTTAGATTTATATTTTTTGTCAAAACTCTCGCACTTAATAATAAATCATGACTCTGTATAATTAGAAGTTTTTGCCTGGTTAGCAGGTTTTCTTCTTTTTAGCAATAATTTCTTTTAGGTTTTAGTTTAGTTTTTTTTATATTTCTTAGTATTAGTATCTGTTTTCTTTGATGTATTAGTTTTATTTTTTACTTTTTTTTTTGTTTTCCATTATCCCTTTTTTTTTTCTTTTTTCCTTCTCTATAAGAAAGTATCATCAGTTTGGTAGTATTCTATTGTAAGGTGAAAATCTTGACAAAGCGAGCAACAGCTAGCCAAGGAATCTGGAGAAATAAGTCCGGAGTGAGTTCTGGATCTCTGGAAAAGGCCAAGTGTTGCTAGATGAATTATATCTGGGCAAAATATAGTGGTTTAATGGTTTGCACTAACTGCAAGTAGATGTTATAGTATTTGCGAAGTACGCTGTAAATGAGTTTACATTTTGATTGAAACAATTATAGATTTAGATTTCTTATATCATGTAAGGATGAAAGTTTGTTCTCATAATAAAGTAAACAGAATTGCTAAAGGAAAAAAAAAGAAGCAATTTTAGACTATATAAAAGACAAAAACATTAATATACTAGAGATAGCAGAAACAAACCTATTGGAAAAAGAATGAAAATTTTTAGTTAAAAAATAAGAACATTACTCTGCATATTGGTCAGCTGCAGAGGAATATAAGAAAAAAAGATTAGGAGTTGATATTTTAATTGACAAGCAATAGGAAAAGTATGTAGCAAAAGTATACAAGGAGAGCTTATATTATTAATATAATATTAGACTTTAAAAGGCTTATGATTAATATTATAGTAGTATATGTAGCACCGAACAATTAAGAGGTATATAAACAGATAAAGATCTATATTAAAAAAAGAACAGATACAAACAATAAGAGAAAGCAGCAGATAATTTGTTATAATGGAAAACTTCAATACAAATTTCAGTAATATTACTACAAACCAAACATCAAGTAAAAAGAAAAACTCAAAAGAGAAAATTATAGAAGAGATAGAATCAAGAGGCTTGGTAGATGTTTGTAGAGAAATTGATCTAAAAGATGAAATAGCAACATGGAATAATCAGAAGTTAAAATCCAAAATAGATATAATATAGGCAGACAAAATCTAGACAAGAAATATATTACAAAAAAGATAGTAGACATGATATTCATAAGAGTCATGCCATTTATTATGTAATTTTTACCATGAATATATGGTCCAGTTGAGTACTAGTTGAGTAATCACATTACATATATATATAATTTATAATATTCGTACCCCACATTTGGTAATCATACCTCCACAGAAATTAAAATTTTTTAAAACTTTAAATGAAGATATCTTGACACCCATTTGACTAAATTCGATGAAAATTTTTTTATTTGAATTCTAGAGGTTTGTTGAATTCAAATAAATAATTTTCATCGAATTTGGTCATGTGGTTGTTGAGATATCTTCATTCAAAGTTTTAAAAAATCAAAACACCTATCAAAACAAAGTTGTGCCAAAATTTTTCTAAAACTTTGAGCAAAGATATCTCACAACTACTTGACTAAATTCAATAAAAATTTTTTTATTTGAATTCTACAGATCTCAAGAATTCAAATAAAAAAAATTCATTAAATTGGGTCAGGTGGTTGTTGAGATATTTTTGCTCAAAGTTTTAGAAAAATTTTTGTACAGCTTTGTTTTGATAGATGTTTTGATTTTTTCTAAAACTTTGAATGAAGATATCTCAACAACCACCTAACCATATTTGATGAATTTTTTTTATTTGAATTCTACAGGCCTCTATAATTCAAATAAAAAAATTTTCATCGAATTTGGTCAGATTGTTGTTGAGATAACTTCGTTCAAAGTTTTAGAAAAAATCAAAATGTCTATTAAAACAAAGCTGCACAAAAATTTTTCTAAAACTTTGAGTGAAGATATCTCGACAACCACCTGACCAAATTCGATGAAATTTTTTTTATTTGAATTCTAGCGATCAGTAGAATTCAAATAAAAAAATTTCATCAAATTTAGCTAGGTAGTTGTCAAGATATCTTCGCTCAAAGTTTTAGAAAAATTTTGGCATAGCTTTGTTTTGATAGGTGTTTTGATTTTTTCTAAAACTTTGAACAAAGATATCTCAACAACCCTGACCAAATTTGATAAAAATTTTTTATTTGAATTCTACAGACCTCTAGAATTCAAATAAAAAAAATTTTATCAAATTTGGTCAGGTGGGTGTCAAGATATCTTTATTTAAAGTTTTAAAAATTTTAATTTCTGTGGAGAGTATGATTACCAAATGTGAGGAATGTCTAAAGCCATGTTCAGTCATATGTTTTTGACTATTTGATAAAATTAGAATAAGGGTTAGTTGAGGGTTGAGGTTAAGGCAATTTTTATAGTAAAATTGTTCTCCAAACATTTTTTATTAATGCTTCGAAGCAGGTTTAAACACTCGATTTTTGTATTTCTTGCATTTTTCGCTTTTTTTTTCTGTTTTTGTTTCTTCAGACTGATTTGTTTCGATCAAAGCAAACAATTTAATTGGCTCTGTGCCATGTGATTGAACATGGCTTTAGACGATCCCCAAATGTGGAAGGTAGAAATACAGATGCACCTATTTACCCAACAGCTTACGTAATGTTTATTGACGATCTATGCATGCCCAGCCAATTAGCATTGATCACAGGAATATATATAAATTTAACATTTCAAACTAATTATAAATAGCATAAGATCTCTATATAGCACATGCAAAAAAAAAAATTGTTAAAATTGTATATAACTTTAGATATAAAACCAGATACATTCGTTCTGTTATTATGAGTACTATATAATTTTCATACTTATTATATTTATACTGCTACTATATATGAGAATTAACTAAACAAAAGGAAAAACCATGCTTTTACATATTATATATAGATGTATTAAAGAATAACTAAATATATACATATGTATATAAAGTCGTTATATTATATGTTACAGTTAAATAAAGACTAATCGGCTAAATTAATTGAGAAGTATATCTCTTCAAAATGTTATTAATCTTTTAAAATCTTTTCTTGAATTAATCAAACAAGATGTTATTGATGGTATAATATGGTCTAGAGTTTTTTTGAAAAAACTGTAAATACTTCTTTGAAAGAGAATAACTACAATTAACCAGAGGGGAGGTGGGAGAAATCCCCTGATGATCATGTGCCTAACATCATACGTATATACTTATATGTAAAATAAAACCCCAATCATAAACATGTTATACAAATAGTTTATTTTGACAGATTAATATAACAATAAATAAAAATATTTAATTACAAATAACTATACCACTTTCGCTTTTTCACTCTTTCACTTTAGTGCAAGTTTCATAACTAGATCTCTTCGCTTAAGTAAAAATACAATAATCGAACTTTTTTAGCTTAAAAACTAACACAAAAGACAATTAATATATAAATAAATACCCAAAGAACTTTTATAAACACGCTATATATATTATAGTTGTGGCAGTTTTCATGTGACGTTTATTGCATATTTTTACATTGATATATATTTTTTTTGGTTCATACCAAATTATTACACAAAAGACAGTTCATTTATATATTTGCCTAATACACCATGAATTTACTACAAACTGACAATAATATTGAAGTAGTTTGCTGAGAAATGATATGCAAATCTATGAAAGTGAACAGTTTGAGAAAAAGTCGTCTCTTATAAGCCTACTTTATAAACCTGAAGCCAGAATTGATGAGATATTTGATATTGATTCTTCTGAAGAAGAAAATGAAGAATCAGTATTAAAAATTTATGAAAATCAAACTTTTCAAATATGAGATGACGCTGAAATTTTTTTGAAAAAATATGCATTAAAACAGGGCTTTAGTATTCAGAAAAGACATGCTGAATCGTGTATTGAAGATAATATAGAAGTTATATATAAAAGTAATTGGGAATGCAGTTGTGCTGGTATATACCAGCCTAAAAAAGTTTTAAATCTGGAGGATTAATGAAATTGTAGATCAAAGTGTACTGAATGTGAATGGTGAATTAATAGAAATATGCCCAAATCATCATTAGTTGTCACATTTACTACTGTTGTAAATTCTTATAACCATCCAATATCACCAGCACCATCAACTACAATTGTATACAATCATAAGTTAGAAGAGGATATGATAGAATTTGTTGACTTTTGCATAACACATAGTATAACCAGAGTACAGAATATAAAACAACTTCTAAAGAGTAAATTTTCTGATCAAAAAATATACAAGAAAAATTTGTATAATGCAATTCAAAGTGCAAAAATAAAACTTTCTTTTAAAAATGAGTTGGATGCATCAAATAACATATGTATAGTCTTAAAACTAATGATCCTAGATGGTTTATGAAGACTAGATTTAATGGATCAGAATGAAGATTATGTAGTATTGTTTGGCTTTCTCCGAAACAACAGTATATTTGGACAAGATTTCATGATATAATTTTTTTTGATACTATATCGTGTACTAACAAATATAACATGATCATATGTTTCTTTGTAGCTATTGATAATTGTAACTGTACCTGTCTAGTTGCCACTGCTTTATTAGAAGATGAAACTAAAGATAGTTTTATTTGAGTCTTTTGCATAATCAACAAATGTACTGGGAATTTAATGCTGCAAGTAATTTATATGGATTCAGATCCAGCACTAGCGAATACAATCTTGGCTGAGTTTCCAAATTCTTTATATTGTTTGTGTCTGCTTCATATTAATCTCTATTTAAAAAAAAATCTTAGAAATAAGATACGTTTGGTTTAATTTAATGAATTCCGTAAGGATTTTTATATATGCAGAAATATAATGATTGTTGATATTTTTGAAAGCAGGCTTGAATCTCTAAAGTTAAAATATCCAGAAGTCACTAGTTACAATAAACATCAGCTTGAATCTTTCAAAATGAAATAGGCGGTTGTTATATTAATTGTCAATTACTGCAAAAGCAAATAGTACCCAGCATGTTGAAAGTTTCAACAAAAAAATTCATAATTGTGTAAAAGCAAATTCCTCTTTGGTAACACTTATTAAGGAATTCAAGATTTATTTGATAAAGAAGCTGAGTATGCTTATATAAAAGAGTATAAATACCAAATACCAACTGTTAGGGTTTTGACTATATCAAAAACTTTTTTTAAAAAGTTAGATATTATTATGAACAAATATCTTATAGAGCCAGTAGCAGTAAACATTCGTAGACAAATGCATGAATATTTTTTTATGATGCTTATAAACTTAATATTAGTGATTGAACTTAATTGAAAAGGTGATCTATGGGTGTAGTGACTTAGTGAAGTGGTGAAGTTGTTGCACTCCAAAGCAGTAGAGTATAAGTTTAATTTCTATGGAAGGTGAAAAATTAGATTTTAGAAAAACGGATTTGACAACTATCATTATGGCTAGAAAAACTTGAGACCTTGTAATTGTGGTCATGCCAAGATAAAAATTGGAAGGTTCTGGAGCATTTGTGTAATAAAGAAGTTACACAAAGGCAAGCAAGCCAGTTTAGTCAGTGCAAACCTAAGATAAGTCCTTTAGAATTGCAGAAAGCCACTGGGCTAATATGGTGGTAGGGCGCTTGCTTGAGAAGTCTCGAGTAGAAAAATAGCACAGATCTTTGATAATACTATATGCAGATTAATACCTGAAGAATCAGATAAACTGAACAGGACCAAAGTGTTTGGCAAGGCACTTTACCAACCAGGCTACTAGAAGAGTAATCGGAGGAAAAAACCCAATAATGAGATCAAAAGCAGGTCATAGCTCTTTCGGGCCATCTGGATTGGTAGTTTGAAATAGCTGAGAAACCAAGAAAAGTCTGTAGGTGTATCGGGGTTTGGGTGAGCTCTATAAGTATAGTAGTAGGTAACTGTAGTGGCCTCGGCTCACAAGTATTTGTCCTTGGACTCGGTGTAAGTTACCAAAGAAGACTAAACAATACAGAAATAGGGGATACTAGACTGCTCTAGCAGGTGATGCACTTGAAGATGAATTAGTTAACTATGCTGGTAGTCCTATAGGTGGATGTAACAATCTTGAAACTTGGACTAACTTATATATCGCATATTTCAAGTAAGATTAGATGGATTGATATAAGAAACTCAAATCAAAGGGTTTAATTAGTTAATTCAAGTAATAGTAGATTACAGATACGACATCTAGTATAGCACCTAGTACATAGGTAGAATACTTAATTAGACACCCAAAAGGTGCAGATATAGCTAGAATATATCTTTATCAGAATGTACTTGTCTGGGGCCTCTTTGAAAAGGGCACCATATGATTCTAATATCTAATAAAAGTGATAAGCTAAAAAGGCTAACCTTGACTATAAAAAAAAAAATACTTTATATATAAATTTTGTAACAAATCAGGTAATTGATATAATCATATAATTTTTTTTTATACGATCGATAGGTTACTGTGGTATATCACATCGGTTGATTTACAAACATAGTGCAGGTCATATAGTAAAAATCACTAATTGAGATTTTTTATAATAAAATTTTCAGATCTGCATTTTATATTAAACAATTATAAAAAAAAAGACTTTACTCTGCCTTTACTTCCTCCCATAATACTTGATATTTTTTAATTTTATATAAGTAGGACATTAATTAAAAGATAACTTTTCATAGTAATAACATTAGAATTTTATTTATCTTTTAAGAAACAACTAAATTTGCCTCGTAAAAAGATCTGTTAAAGCCAGATACACTCATCTAGTGATCTACATACTGCATAAATTATATTCTTGATATATCTATAAATCTGTAACACTAACTACATCAAAATAATAATTCTAACTTGTATCTCTCTTCGTTAATATGATTAAGTTATCTATGCATATATATATATTTTTTTTACCTAAAAAAAGAACATCACAATAGTTTTATAGTTGACAAATGATCAGTTACAATCGTTTAGATTACAATTAAAAACAGCTATAAAAAAAAAATATATGTTTTCTATATTAAACCAGTGACTATTTTTTACTTCTCCAGGTAAGAAAACTATTAAATGGCCTCACCTTTGAAGATTAAAAAAAAAAAAAAAAAAACTATTAAATATTTTATATGTTTTTTTTTCTCTGAGACTATTATCATTCTCTAACTAGTTATTGACCTCAAAATTTCTAGTACTTTGTCAAATATCTCTCAATATATCTTGGGAAATTTTTTGCAATCCGCCATCTAAATCAGAAAGTTAAATACATGATTCTTATAATTGAGCACTTATATTAGAGTGAACTTTTACATCATAATAGTTGAATAATTCTTCTAGCTGCTATTGATGCACCACAATGCTTTATATACAAAATTTAACAAATTCATATATTAGGTGAAATTTTACTAGTTCTAATTTATCAGAATTTGCAAATGCTTCAAACTCTTTAAAAAAATCATTCTGCCTTAATGCCTCTAATAGTCCAAATGTATTTGAATGTCTATTAGACAAATCTTCTTTTAAAATTTAAATGTAAGAGATCTTCTGCAAGATAGGATTTTTGAAGAATTTTTATTGAAAAATATATTTAAAAAAGTACGAGAAAATTCTGGTCTGTTTTCTTTACCTAATCACCTAATCAACAAATACTTAAGGGTAAGTGAACCCAAACTTCCATTCATTTAACAAATCCATCCAAGCATTCTTTATTCTGGATCGTAATAATTCACAAAAGCTTTCAAAATTTCTTTTATCTGTTTCACGTTCAGCATTAACTAATTCATTTCTAAATAATCTATAAATATCTTTTAAATAATATTGAAGCTCTTGAATCTATATTATTATTTTATCTGGCATTTCATAAGCATAATTGCCCAGAGGAAAAGTATCGATATTATTTGGCTGGTATATTTGTGAAATTGGGTCATACCTAGTTAGAAAATCATAAATGGGTTCATAAAACTCTTGCCTGAACTTAACAATACATTGTATTTGGAGATTAAGTTGCTTATCTGTAAGCCACTTAAGAAATATCTGCCATTTATATAAATATGACAATAGAACATTTTTGGCATTTTTAAGTTGTTCAATAAAAAATTGAGCAAACTTAATATGGACTTCACATTGCTCAAGATATTGTTTGGCAGTTTTAAGTTCATATAATCACTATTGACAAAGAGGTTGTTAATACTTACACATGTCAAAATTAAACATTACTTTATAGAGTTTTTTTAGTATTTCAGATTTTAAATTTAGTGGACTGTTTTTATCTGAAAGATCATATCTGTTATGAAGATGAAAAGCCAAATTAAGTAGATTAAATAGATGTTCTTTTAATGATAATCCTTTAATAGTATCTAATTTTCCAAATGCCGTATTCTCAAACTTCATTAGGGCAATATGGGTCGTGTGTAATCCACAAGGAATTCAGAAAGATTGGGATGTTGCTAACAAGTTGAATTTAGCAATTACGCTATTAAGCTCTGAAGACATATAGGCTGTATTATCTGTTAACCAAAAATGACATTTTTGAGAATCAATATCTTTTTCTTTAAAAGTTTTGAATACTGTATTCGAAACTGTTTCTGTATTACAACATACCATATCCGTTACTTTTACTATAGTAATTATTGGTTTTATTTTATTATCATCCCAATACGAAAAACAAATAATTAATATTTTTTTTCCTCTTGTATGCTTTCGTCAGCCATAATATTATAACTAAAAAATTTAAAAAAAGCTTCTTTAGAATGATTTTGATTAAATGATAAAGCTGCTATTTCTTTATTCCACTATGCTAAAGTTGATGAAGTTATCTAATGCTGTGGTGTTTCTCTAGTCAAGAACTGATAGAAAACCTTAGTGGATTCTACAGTCATATGTATAGAGGTTTGTCCTATATTGCTAATATCGGATCTTCTTTAGTATAGGTGGGTATATATAAATTATTACAAGTTTATAATATATAAAACCTAACTAATTTAAGCTAATTTAAACTCTAACCTTAACTCTGACTCTAATAATTTATAAAATTACTTAAATTAGATTAAAATAGTTAAGTTATATATATTATAATTGTTTAATAATTATATATGCCCACCTATACTAAAGATCAACCATTTTTTTATATACTGCCAATATAAATCAGATTTTTGGTGCCAATAGTTAGCAATCAGTAAATATCAGATACCTGATATATATGGAGCTTTTCAATAAAAAGGTGAAAGATTTCTTATAAGTAAAAGTTTTATAAACTTTAAATTAAAATATCTCAATAACTATTAAACTAAATTTAATAAATTTTTTTTATTTTAATTTTATAAAATTATAAAATCAAAAAAAAATTTATTAAAAATTTAATTTAGTAGTTAGTTATTGAGATATTTTAATTTAAAAATTAAAAAAAATTACTAAAAACTTTTTTTCACTTTTCTATTGAAAAGCATCCATATGTTTTCAACCTGTGACACTAAAACAAATTATAGTAATAAAATCTATAGTGAATAATGTATTTAAAAATCAAATTATCAATATAACTTTATTTATTTATAGAAATATAGGTCTGGGCTAGCTAAGTAGAAAATGATTATTGGAATAGCAAGTTTAAAAAAAAAATTTCTCAAGCTCTAATTCATAAAATAAGAGTTCTTTTTTGCTATTCTGCATTATTAGCTAAGTTAAAATTATTTTTACTATCTATTCAAGCATTTATTTTATTAAAAATACTACCTCTAAAATTGTCATTATTATAAAAATTTTTTATAGTATCTTTTCCTTCTTAATAATAAAATTTTAAAAATATTAAATTAAGAATATAGCGACTTAGAGTAGTGGTTAAGTTGTCACCCCCAAGCAGCAGGTCTAGAGTTCAAATCTCACTGGAGACATTTTTAGAAAAATAGGCCTGTGTTCCAGTAACAATTATTCGACAATCAGTTGGGTATATCACCTGTAATCTTGGTACTACTATCTCAAAATAGAAGCTCTTAGGTAATCCAAATCCAAAAAACCAGAATAATTGAAATCTGTTTGGCAAGACCCAAGTAAGGAAGTAGGGAAGATCTTTGACGATACTGCAGAAAAGTCAGAAACCAGAAACCGAAGAACCGGACAAAAAACCCTGGGGCAAGAAGGGTTCACCAACCTGGCTACCAGAGTTGCACCAAAGGAAAAGGTCCTATGTTATAGAATTAGAAACCAAGAGAAGTAAAACCAGAAGGCACTTAAAGCCTAGGTATAATGACCCATCCGGGCTAACTGGTTTGGTAGTTAGAAGGGATCGGTATAAGGACCGGCTTGATGTGGGTATCAGGATCAGAATGAATCTTACAAGAGCACTGGATACTGAAATTGTGCAGTTTAATAGTTTGTCCTGACTACTAGTGGTAGTTTTGGCTGCTGCAAAAGATATTTGTAGCCTAATCTAGAAGTGCGTAGGGTATAGAAAGATTAGAGAGTATATACTACACCCTCCCTAGAGTAACCTGGTATGTAGGTCCTACTAGGCTATCTATAAAATTAGAATGCAAGTAGTATAGCAGATATCGATCTGAGTGGTCTTCAATAAGAAGCAGTATGAGGTTATGGATTGGTGTGATTGTGGTGGTGGTGCAGGACAGAAGACATCAGAGAGTTTAAATAGATAATATCTTAGGTAGATTACAGGTATAGCATATATTGTAAAACCTTTGGGCAAACTACTTAAATTAGGTGACCAAAAGTTGCATATGTGGCTATATGTATTCTCGCTAACCAAGAATGTACTACTAAAATATCTAATAAAAATCTACCCTTCCGCAACATTGCGAAGGTATAAAAAAAAAAAAAAAAAAAAAAATATATATTAAATTATACATATTATTTAAAGAATAATTATTTTTTACTATAATCCTATCAAAAATAACTTTGAATTTGTTTTAGAATATTGAGATAATATTTAAAAAAATAATAATTGGCTTGAGCTACTAGAAGAAACATAAAAGAATCTTTAAGAAGAATTAGATAAAGGTAAGATATTAAATTGTTTAGATCTTAATAGAACTGTAAAACCTATTTTAGTTATTTGGTCTAACTAGTCATGAAAAGATTCATAATTGGTACAGTGCACAACACCTAAAGACTAAAATCACATGAACTGTCCTATTTTAGATCCAAAAAATAAAATCATCAAAAAAGCTAATTTACGCATATTTATCATACAATTATGTGACTGTCCAGTTACTACAATAGAACCTTTATAACTACAATTTCTATAAGTGTATACCTTCACTAAATTCTGAACCAAATATACACAGCTACTATAAATGTATTTATTCTTACTGTTCTTTAAGAGCGCATTATTAAAGTTTGTTTTCAAGTACATGTACTTAGAGATTTTACTGTATTCAATTTCGATTATAAAATAAAATTTTAATAATATAGTATCTGATTATCTGAACCTTCATATAAATCAATTTTATTTATAAATGCTTTTGTTATTTTGAATATTCAGTCATTAACAAGTCACAGCATAATGAATAAATATATTTAATTAATCTTTTAAATGTGCTATTGATACTCTTATTTACTTATTCAACCTATCTGCAATATTATTATTTATCGAAACTGATGTCAAAGATGTATTATGCCTTAAAAAGAAAGTAAAAAAAAATTTAAAAAAAAATTTTTAAAAAGAACTTCTTTAAAAAAAATTTTTTTAAACAAAAAAAAAAAAAAAAATTTAAAAAAAAAAAAAACTCCTCTGAAAAAAAGATCAAAAAAATCACTTTTTCCTGACTTCTGGTAATTTTATTTGTTGTGTTTATTGGGCCTAGAACCGAATAGACATAAATTTACAAGGTTAGATTTTTTTTATACTATAAAAAACAAAAAAAAAAAAAGCTTACAATACGATCAGTATTTTTTTGCAAAAAAAGATCTAACTCTCTTCGTAGAATCTGCTTATGTGACTTAAATTTCTTGCAAGCGAACTCAGCCAATTTTTCTGTTAATCCTTCACAATACAATTCCATGTACCTCCAAGATTTTCTAGCAAACCTCCTGATTGTTAAATATCAACAGAATCAAGTGTTTATAAAACAGTTCTTAGTAAACCAGTCTAAGAGTAATTGCAATAATTTCTTGTAAAGTGTTTGGCTACACCCCAATACATCTCAATAAAATTGAGTTCACAATAGAATTTCAGATAAAAAACACACAAATGATCAGCGTTCTCAATTAATTCTACAACTACAGATTTTTGTACAAAAAAATCTGGTTAGGAGGCCATAATCTTCCTTGTATAGCAATTTATTCACAAAAAGTCATTTCGTAATTCCTTATTCTTATACATTTTATATTCTAAACATAACACTTCTTTCCAAAGTTCTCTTTTCTGTAATATTTTTCTTATTCCTTTAGGCTTTTCTTATATAGTTAGATCTTTATGATCCTCTTCAAAAACTATCTGCTGAGCTTTCACATTTCCATCAACATTAATATAAGTTGTTGATTGCATTACTAGTTGATTTCCCCAAGTCCCAAATTCATTCGCAATGTGACAAGAGCATTCTTTGTATATGCTGCATGATTGGTACTGTTATCAAAAGCAAAAATAGCAGTCACATTAGGAAACTTTGCCTTAAATATAAAGATCGCTTTATTTTTGATTTGGTCTAATAAATGACCAATAGTTCAATAGTTTCTTGATTTTTATCAGGCACAATATAACAACATGCCTCTACAGGAAGATTTGGATATCTTTTTATCTCTTCATCAGAGAATTTTAACTGACCACACTCTTCTGATACAAATTCACTAACCATTATCGATCTTCTATTTACATTTTTTCATAATAGCATCTTTCCGTCAAATATTCAAATCTTTCTTTTTTCATCATTTATATAAAATACACATTCATCATAAGTTACAAAAATTAGTTCTCACTCTTCTCTATTAAAAACTGGTAGAACTTTTACCATTGTTTCCCCTTCAAATGTTGCCATTTTTTGCTCTAAAACTCTCATTTTATCTAAAAAAGTCCTCTATATACTACAATATTCACCCTTTCATGTTCGTCTAAATTCATCCTCTTTTTGTATTCTTTGTATTTACATCCTAAAATACCCAACCATCTTTTTGCAGTTCGCAAACAAATTTTTTCTTAAGCTTCTATACATTCAGGCAAAATAACATTATTGACATATTGCATAAAACTAAATAAACTAATGCTATTTATACCTAATTCTTCATATATCTATTGCTGATATTGCAAAGCAATGTCCTCATCATCAATTAACTGCTTATACTTTTGGTACTTACCGCATTGTGTAATTGAAAATGAACCATTGTTTAGATAAAATTTAGCCAAAACACAAATTTTTTGGGCAGTGTATAGCTTTAGAGAAATACAGGTAATACGTGCAGCTTCTTTGCTTGCTTTCAATTTACCAATATTACCATCTAACTGCACAAGATACTTATAAACTAACCTTTGTTCATTATATTTAGTAATAGTGAATTTTTGTTTATTTTTTACTAAATTTTCCCTAAGTTTCTCAATTCCTTCATAAAGTGTATAATTCATTTCTTTTACATCAGATTCATTCTCTATATCAGATTTATCCTCTATATCAGATTCATCCTCTATATCAGATTTATCTTCTATATTCAATTCATCCAAATATATTACTTCTATATCTAATTTATTCAAACATATTTCTTCTGCATTAGATTCAACTAAAATCGTAAGAGATACTGGAGGTTTGTGAGACTCATAAAAGACCTGCTTACTCGAGATGATGTAAAGTAGACTGTGGGCTGGCTAAAAAATTGGCTTAAAGATAAAAAAAAAA